CCATTCTTCCCCCCCCTCCCCCCCAATTACACAACTGTCATGGTCTCTCTTTGTTAGTTCTAGTAAGAGTTTTACGACGGTACTTGCAACACATTAAGGTTATATAAGCGCCGGAGATTAGAGGTGTTACAAGAGAGTAACAAACACAAAAAGAAGGACGACAGATGTTTGACAGGAAAGAAGGAGCAGCAAACCACACCAGGGCACCCGTCAACCACCCACTGTCACCTCTCTATACAGACTCAGCGCACCCCCACCCATTACACAACTGCCGTGGCTTCTCTACACAGGGCAGTCTGACCAACTTGCATAACATCCACACAGGTGTCAGCAGTGCTGAGTCATAATTAACATTGCTATTGCACTTGTCCAATTCATTTACCTTTTAAAATATATAACCACACCCATAAGTAACTGGAATTTCATTTTTTTGTTTTGTTTTACCAAGATGTGATTGAACCAATGATGATAACTTGAATTTTACCCCCCCCCCCCCCCCCCCCAAAAAAAAATATTTTAAAATCATTCTTGGTTCACTTGCGCAGTTTCATTAACAGACCATAACTATTTTACAATGGTTTTGGAAAAAGCCAAGCCAGGGTAGAAGGGCCTAGGGATAAAATTTTAAGAAGAAGAAAAAAAAGCAAACAGAAATTACTCAACTCTATTACTTTATTTCACCCTATCCGTACGTCGTGTTTTACTATCGTACCCATACGACGTGGGGAACTCTGTGCCACCTCTTTCCAATGAGGAAATTTACTCATTAATCCGATCCGTACGCTTTGCATAGTTGTCTGTCAAAATGAATTTTTGAGAAATAATGAAAGTTTCAAAGAAATGTTCGCACTAGAAGTACTCTAAAATGTGAAGATTACAACCCTGGGGGTACAAAATGACCACAGGGCGTACGGATAGGGTTAAAGTAAAGTGACGTACAAAATCAATGCGTCCCGAGTATCTTGTTTTGTTTTAGTAAGAGCTTTATGGCACTTGCAACACAATAAGGCCATATAAGTGCCGAAGATTAGAGTTGTTACACAAGAGTAACAAACACAAAAAAGAAAAAGAAGGAGGGGAGATAAAGACGATGATAGATGTTTGATAGGAAAGAAAGAGCAAACCAAACCAGAGCACCCGCCAACCAGCCACCGATTATCTTGGTTAAAACGAGGAGGGAGACTACTCCATCGGCCCTTCCTGCTAAGGACTTACCCACGGAAAAAGCCGCTAAGGAATGTGACAAAGGTGTGAAAATTGTGATGAGGTCCTCTGCCATGTCGGGCCGCTCATAAAAACTGTGGAAAGAAAATAGCGAATGGTAAGAAGAACAAAATCACAACCAATACATTTTATCTAAATCTCTCTCTCTCTCTCTCTCTCTCTCTCTCCCTCTCATCTTTGTCTATACGTTATTCTCTCTGTGTGTGGATGTCTGTCTGTCTGTCTGTCTGGGTCTGTCCATCTATCTACATGTATCCTTCTGCCTCTCTCTCTCTCTCTCTCTCTCTCTCTCTCTCTGTCACTCTCTCTCTCTCTCTCTCTGTCTGTCTCTCTCTCTCTCTCTCTCTCATCATATAAATACTCTCTCTCGCTCATCATATAAATAATGAAGTCTCTGCTAAAACCGAAATATTTATGAGGGACCATCAGATTATCTTCAGTTTGGCCAAGTTTTTAGTTTCGGGAGGTTGCTAACGTAGAAGAGAAAAAAAAAAAAGGGATTTTCCCTTCTTTCAGTTTACCTCTCTTTTCACATTTAAAAAAATATTTTTTTTAGTATGTGTTTTACGGCACTTGCAACACAATACGGTCATAACAGTGCCGAAGAATAGATATGCTACAAGAGAGTAACAAACACAAAAAAGAAAAGGGTGGGAGATAAAGACGACAGATTTTTGACAGGAAAGAAGAAGCAAACCACACCAGAGCACCCGCCAACCAACCACTTGACCAAGTTTTTTTGGGTTTAGGGAGCTTGCTCAAACAGAAGAAGAAAAAAATTGGATTGTCTTTTCTCTCAGCTTACCTCTGTTTTCATATATTTACTGTATGCCAAATAAGCAGACTCCACTATAAATCGTCGCTTTTAAGGACAAGCAGGCTAACTCAGAATTCGGGGGTTTCCAGAAATCTTGACCTACACCAAAAGTGGGCATTGCCCTACCTATAGTAGAAGTTTGGTTTTAGTGGTGTGTATATTTGTTTGGTTATAGAGAAAACTCTCCTTGTCTTTTAAAGAAACTGAACAAGGGACAAAAACTTTACCTTCGATTTTCTCAAAACAGCATTTTCGGGATAGCCCCCTTGTGCTTAAAAGCGACCATATAGAAACATACATCCATTAACCCATCCACACCCACACACACACCCACACACATACCCACACTCACACAAACATAAACCAAATCACACACACTCACACCCACTCACACACACACCTGCACAGAACAAAATCATACAACACGTGTCTGTGTGAGATAAACACTCCACAAACCAGTGC